CACACACACACACACACACACACACACACACACACACATAACCTAAGTAAAATTGCCTACACTCTCTTTGGTACTATAAGGGCAGGATTTTGTTTTTATTAACCTTTGTGTCTCAAGTGTGTAGAATTATAGTCCTCACAGAGTAAACATTTTTAATGTTTCTTAAATAAATGAATGAATCTCAATTTATTAATGTAGTCCAGCAATAGAATTATTTGATTCTCTGGAGAACGAAGGATGTATGTTGTATCTTTGGATGAGTGGGTTTTATCCATGTCTCCTCTCTGCAAATGAGAAAATGTAATCTTGTTGAGATTAAGTACTTAGCTTGCTGAAGGTCACTTCACCAGAAGGCAGCTGATGTGAGGATCCAATCCCACATTTGACTGTCTCCTCCCTATGGTTATAACCTTCTTGTTGTACTGTCAGATTATTTTAAGTCACTTTTCTACCATTCATTACATTTCATATGTAACCTAAGTTTAGTTGATGTAAAAAAAAATCTTCCTAAAGATGCAAAAATTCTACTTTTGATAATGATTAAGCTTTCATTGTTGGATAGAGTATGAGGATAGAATTCAAAAGTTCTAGGTTACAGCGCCAGGCAAGTCTCTGCTGAACTTTTGGAGCTGAGGTAGATCATTGGACTGCTCTAAGCTTTCATTTTATTTAATTGGATAAAATACTGACTACCCTGTTTTACCTCACAAGGCAGAATCATATAACAATATGTGAAAATGTTGCATGAAATGTAAAATGCCATAAAAATGTTAAAGGAAAAGAGATATTATCATGAATCATTAAACTATGAGAGACTGGACCGAATTCAAATAAACATGTATTGGAATGGCTGGATGAATTTCATTGAATTTTCCCCTGCCTTCTCTAATTTTTTAGTAAATCTTTTAAAAACAAAGATGACTTTTGAGTAATATATGGGGTATTTTAGTTGAGGTTATTCTATTTCAACCCAGAAAAGCCAATGGCTTGGTTTTCCAGTCTGAAATGAGAGGCCTTGTGACCATGTGGCCTGCTCATTCAAGCAGATGGAACAACACATTCAGTGCTAATTAAAATCTTCAAAGGGTCTTCAAAGGGTAGCAGTAAATACTATGTATTTCCCTTATTTAAAATGCTAGCAGATGAAGAGGTCTTTTTTTTTCTCCTTAATGAATATAGGATTCCCATCTGTTATCTTCACAAAAATGCAGCATGTCAGGTAGAAGAAAAAATAAAGTTGGAAAGATTGTGTCATTCTCTTCCTTTCACAGTAAGCCATTCTTTTCTAGAACCAGATGATGCCTTTTTTTCCCCATTAAATCTTAATGCCATGGAAAATGATTTGCCAGTCCTGACAAAATAGAACCAAGTAGAACTCTGGGTCCTTCTATTTTGAAGGCATAATGATAGATACAATAGTTTGGCTCATTCTACATCCATATCAACCCCCATTAGTTAGTTTGTCTCCCATTCAAGGGAAGCTTAGGGCTATCTTCTGGTCCTCCCCACAACCCCACCCTGGGAGAGACTTGGATGTGGATATGAGCAATATGAGGAAGGAATTGCTATTTGAATAGGCAGGAATAGGGTACCTGGCTCCACTGTGGCAGCTGTGGTGCAATTTCTGGTGTCTGGTCTTAGCATATTAGATGACAAAGAGTTAAGAATAATGGCAGAAGCTGCCTATTTTCAATAAAAATCCCATGAGGAAACTGAGTGTTTCTCATACTTCCTGTTTCTATGACTGACAGTGTATAAGCTTGTTTTTCTAGCCCCCTCCCATAGAGGATTGTGAACTACCTAACATGCTTTAATAAACTCTTTTCTGTTCAAACCAGCCAGAGCTGAATCTGTTGCCTCTAATGACATTTAGAGTTATCAATACATAGTGTTTTAAGAAGGACAACAGACTTCTGTGGATACATTTTGACAAACACAGTTGGTTGTTTGTTTATTCAGTAGCCATCTTATCACCTTACTAACAGAACCCCATTTCATAGGAGGTAGCAATGTCCTTAGCTAAAAACTGACATTTCCTAGCTTTTCTTGCAATTGGGCATGGCTGTGGATATAATTATAGCCGAAAGGATGTCAATCAAGGGTATCTGGGTATGCTTTGCTTCTCTAATATAAGCTTTGTGCTTCTTTTCTGACTGAAATATAAATGAAGTAGTTGGAGATTCAACCTGGGATGCATTTGGGGATTATCATGGAAAGGCAGAGAGTATGGCACATACCCTGTCCTAACACCATGAGCCTTACTGCCTATGCCAGCAACAGATATCAACATCATCTCTGGAATTCTTGTTGCATAAGAGAAAAATGAACTCTTGTGTGGTTTAGGCACCATAGTCTGGTGTTTAACCTTTAAAATTAAGTGCCTTACTTAATTAGTTCGTAACACAACTAAAAGTAAGCACAATACAATTAATAAAGTGTTCCAATAAAGCAGCTGTTTTAAGACTTAGCAGTTTGGATTACAATCACAAAAATAACACGTACTGGGTGGCTTAAATAACAAACAATGTTTTGGAGACTGAAAGTTAAAGGTCAGGGTGTCAGGGTGGCTGGGTGCATGGTTAGGGCCCTTTTTCTGGTTTACAGATGTACGACTTCTTTCTGTAGCCTCACATGGTGAAAAGCCTGGAGAGGGGGCAGTGAACTCTCTTCTATCTGTTCTTATAAGGCAACCAATCTCTTCATAAATACTCCAACCCCATGATCTAATTATCTTCCAAAGACCCCCCCACCTCCAAATGACATCACACTGAAGGTCACAGTTTCAACTTATTAACTTTATGGAGACAAAAACATTCAGTTTACAGTAACAGCATTTTAAATAACATGAACCTATGGTAATAGGGAGCCTTCTCTGTTTTGTGATAGAAGTCTGGGCTAGATGCCCAAACCATCTCTTAATTCCTTTCCTCATTAGTTCTGTCTTTCTGTCTGTCTGTTAATCTATCTATCTATCTATCTATCTATCTATCTATCTATCTATCTCCTAAAGAATGTTCCAAGTCCCATGCCCACTGAATAAAGAATTCTACACTTTATCTAAGAAATCACACTCAACTCTCAAAGACCACACACACACACACACACACAAAAAAAAAAAAAAAACAAAAAACAAGGGAGGCAGATTTTAGCTTTTTCTATGAAAGGCTATTCTTGGGCAAATAAACTTAACTGAAGGTAATGAGTTCCCAGTTACTAAGAGTGTTCAAGTAGAGTCTAAGTGACCTTTGCAGGGGGACATTAAAGAGAAGGATCAAATATTAGACTGTGGTCAGAAAGGACAGATTAAACTCTTTTCTAGTTCTACTGTTCTAGTTCTACAGTTCTTGAGTTCTGTGGCCATATTCTATTCACACATATTTTGTACTCCACCAGCACGAACCTGTCTTTCCATTCACTTCCTGCCATCTTTGTGGTGGCCTTGCCACGTCTTCAATGCCGTGTGTTGTGAATGTACTCTTTTTCACTGTGTACAAAGAAAGACTATGGGAGAAAGTGAAATTATGAGTCCTGAAGGGGAGTGACTAGAAAAAGGGCCAGTGATGAAAGGAGACCAGCACACGCAGAAGGAAGGGAGTTGAACAGTTAAAGCAGAACTCAAAAATAAGAGGTTAAAAAGTTGAATTTGTTCAGTTACTAGAAAAAAAACAAAACTATCTCTAGAGACTTGAGGACATTGGGGCCAGGTGACTAGAGCATCAGTGTGGCATGCTGAAGAAGGAACTGGTCAGCAATTTCAGCCTGACTCTGGAGAAGCATATGTTGGGCAAAAAGTTGGCTTTCCTGACATCAGCAAGCTAAAAATGATTGCTCAAGGGCAGAGAAGCAGGATGGGGTAAAAAAATAAATCACACTCACATCTAATGGTGCCAGGCAAGAACCTGTGATGTGCTGACCTGCTTGCACTCTGCTACTTTGGGATTTCTCACCTGTACAAAAGTAGATTCTCATACTCTAAATAGTTTGGCTGAGCATGATGTCCCCAATGCGCATGACAAGGACATGGTCCTGAGATGGATCAGCAGATAGTATTGCATTCACAGGCCTTCTGGTCAGGAAAGTGAAAATATCAGTGACTGACACAGACACTCAGGTAGAAAGACCCTGACTGTTCATCAGTTTTAGTATTATTTTTATAGTCTGTGAGGGATTCTAAGATAAAATGGGACTTGAAGCCATATCTGAAGGAATCAAGGAGTACTCCCTGGCTAGGAGAATTAAAGGAATATGATGCAGAATGAGAGTGGCAATGAAGGTGGTGCTTCCAGGAGGCAGGGAGCCTGGGGAAGGCCTGGAGGCTCCTGTGGGAGGATCACACTAAGTTCTTGATCTTGTTTACCTTAGCAATTTAACTGTCACTGGTAGCAGTTCTTTAGGCCAGTGAGGAGTACCCCACTTCTGCTTGCTCAGTCTAAATGGTTTTTAAGGTGCAAAGTGCCTTGATTTCATCCCTTGTTTCTCAGTCTCTAGTTCCTATGCTCTTGTGTTGGCTGACTTAATGTTTCAGGAGGTTGCAAACATATTATTCCTCAGAAATGCTAGTGACACTTCCTTACTATCTACATCTCAAATCCCCATAACTGGGTCTTCAGCTGAGCTTGCCTTTGCAAAGTAGTTGATTACAAGGAAAGAAAACCCATCCATCTTTGACTGAGCTTCTTCTTGGCTGGCTTTGAGAACTGCCAGGTCTCTTTCTCACCCCACGCAGTTCCCTATTACGGCACAAGCTGCTGAGGAAGTGACTGGCAGAGGCTCAGCCTGGAGCAGCTTTCTGTTTGCATCCTACCTCCAGGAGAGGCATCATCCTTCCTTCCGTGGCACATGCTGTGGGGAA